GTCCGGCATTCTGTGGTCCGGAAACTCCCGTGGTCCGGAACGATTTTAGTTTGTCCAATAGGTAGATAGGCAGCTTTTTTTTTTTTTTTCTTTTTTTTTTTTATCTGATTATTATTATTATTACAGGAGTATTAAATTTTTGCCCCTCAGGCCCCAATGTGGGTCAGTGACCTATGCCCGGGTGGGCTAATCCCCTTAAAAAAAAAAAAGCCGCGGGAAATTAAGGTTTGTTTACATCCGGCAGTTCGGCTGCTCTCTCTCTCTCTGCTTGTCTATACAGAGTACAACATTTAACCCTTCAATATATATGAGCAGTAAATAAGTGTTGCTTTCATATTCTTATGTAGAGTAATGACGATATGTTTTCACATGTGCGCACTTACATACGCGCAGTCTCACTTTTTTTTTTACCATTAATGGTTAGCTACTTACATTGTTCCATTTATTAACATTAAATAACATTACAGGTACTTCAAACAACCATATTATTTTTTTACATTAATTTTACTACAGCTACAATCAGGGTCTTATTTTCTTCAGTTTTATATGTAGAACCAATCAGTCACTGGTTTTGTAAGCTTTAGCATAAACAATGCCGGCAGCCGTCTCGTCTCCTCTAATATTCCACGTATTATTATTAATAAATTGTATTGTTAATTTTGCACACACAAACATTAATTCAATAATAACAAATTCAGAAACATTAATTAAAATATATATGAACAGTAAATAAGTGTTGCTTTCATATTCTTATGTAAAGTAATGACGATATGTTTTCACGTGTGCGCATGCACACTTACATACGCGATCTCTCTTTTTTCTTTACCATTATCGTTAGCTACTTCTATTGTTCCATTTATTAACATTAAATAACAATACTTAAAACAACCATATTAATTTTACTACAGCTACAGCCAAGGTCTTATTTTCTTCAGTTTTATATGTAGAACCAGTCAGTCACTGGTTTTGTAATCAAAGAAAACAATGCTGTGTCAATTCCTCATGTGTTTTAATATTCCACGTATTATTAATGAATTGTATTGCTCATTTTGCACAAATAAACATTAATTCAATAAAAAAGACATTCAGTAATAAACAATAATGAATCTTTTGTACAGAAGAGAAATGACGCTGTTTACACGATTATGCACGTCGTCTGTACGTTGGTGGGCCGTTCAAACCCATCGAAATTCAAGTTTCCGCCGTCATAATTTTTATTTCTATTTTTTGTGTGTGTGTTCCAATAAAATACGTTGAATTAAAAACTCGCGAAATTTGAGAAGCTACTATACGACATTTAACCCTTCAATGTGTCTTCAAAGAGACCATGATGCAGAGAAAGTGGTGCTAGTGCTTCCAGGCATAAGCACAAGTCACTATCTATCCAGGAAAAGGGTGAATTTCCATGGTCCGGCACCGGTCAGGTCCCGAGGTTGCCGGACTAGACAGGTACAACCTGTACCATGATTAATCACTATTAAGCACCATTCTATCAGTAAATTCTAATAATAACAGTAAATCCAGTGAAATATGGCAAGGACCAAGGAGAGTTACAACTGCAGACGATGCGCTAACTAGCAGTCACTCACTCCTCTTTCTTGCTCCTGTTGCCAGGCGTGCGATCGAAATATATATGGTAGAAATACATATCTTGTAGTGGTAACATGCACAGTGATACACAAATTATATGAACCATACATTTTACTATGATAACATAATAAGAAACATTGTATCATTACAAGAGTGAGTTAATTAATATTCCCACAAACAACAATTGACAAATCTGTTTATTTTTCCCGCCTTGGGCACCTGTGTCCCGAGTGCTGACATCTTAAGATGGCGGCACACTGGGCACTTTTCTCCAAACATGTTGCTCATTTTGCTGGCCGTTGGTCTAAGTGCCCAACAAGCAGCAGGATTTCAGCTGTTGCTAGAAATGGACAACAGTTTGACGAGGATCTTTGCTGGCCGGATTAGTGCTCAAATGAGCTTCATATAATTTCAAGCAAAATTTGAAATAAATCATAAAACAATAATAATTTAAAATATAACAAATAAACAGCGACATATTTCTATTTATTCCTTACTTTAAAACTTCTTTATATTATTAAATCATTATTCAGGGTCTTCTTTGACCAGCCAGCCACCACCACTTTTAAAGAAATTTCACAACACACCCACTGTCATTTCTTTAGCTTTTGCAAACACCTCACTTGCTTCAGCAATTGAAGAACTATAGCACAATCCTGAAAGGCCTCAACAGTATTAACGGGATACATGGCGAACCTCATCTAGATGCTTTGTTTTTGTTGCAGTGGGCTGACATGCCAACAAAACATCCCAGTGTGACGCAAAACATCTCTTTGCTTTGCTAGCCGGACCATGTTTGCCAAACACGTTTGGAGGAAAGTGCCCAGTGTGCCGCCGCCTTTACTTACACAGGTGTAAGATGACTGTTGCTCTGTTCTGGGAATGCTTCTTAAGAGAACCCCCAAATTTTGTTCAAATCTTCCGAAATTCGGATCCGAATCTTCAAGGGTTCACTGTAATCCCTCACAGCTTCATGGGAATGGAAAATACCTGTCTTCCCTGTAACACAGAGCTTCATTCGCGCCCATATCATGTAGATTTTTAGTTTTTAAATATATTTATCTAACCTAACATTTAAATAAACTAGTCTGGATTATTCTAGTATAGAATGGAGTTTCTAACTTAATTAGAACTGCTTTTATGGACTCTGCCAAATTCAAAACAGTTCTGCCACTCCTATCCCAATCGTTGGACCAACGAGGTACTCAACAAAACTTGCTGGGCATTTCCCATATATGTATATGTCTGTTATGCAAAGCAGCAGTTAACGGGACGTCGATTTTCGGGGTACATCTGTATCTGCATAGGAAAATATTTTTCACTATTCAAGTTTTCTCATTGTAACAACTTCCACAGAATGCATCTCTTTCATTTAGCGAGGATTATCTGCTGTTTCAACAAATATTTTCACCTTTTAATATCTAGCATAGCTAAGAATAATGTACAGTACTGTTTATTATTACCCTCTGAAAATACAGCATGCCCTTAAAATTCCCGGGGATTAGGTTCTCAAAATGGCCACAAATAACCAAATCCGCGAATAACATTTGCTGACCGGGGGTATTACGTTACATTTTGTTTACTAGTGTGCAAAGAAATGTATTGACCCTTTGTGTTTGCCCTTAGGACAATTATTTCTTTTACCTGTATTGCATATATGTGTTTCTGTGTAGACACACAGACACACACACCAAAAAAAACACATACAAATAAATAATAATGGGAAAATCCTATGACAAATATTCAGAAACAAGACAACAAAAATGCATTAAAAATGCGAGAGACTATCCCCAAGTCAACTCCGTGCTTTGTTATTGAAGTTAATAACAAAGCACAGAGTTGACTTGAGGATAGACTTAAAATTTTAATACTTTTGTCTTGTTTCTCATTACAGTTAAGTCTGGATTTACTCGGTTTTTGTTTACGCGTTTGGTCATTTACGCAGCACCTTGCCAGAATGAAATGTTTTAATTACGCGGTAAATTTCATCATTTACGCGGGTGAAGTATAATTTGTTTATTTACTGAAGTTATATATGTTTTTAGCTCATAAAATATATAATTTACATTGCTGGAATCCTTACAAGATGGTGATCATTTTAAATATAAACATCTTAACATTTGCATTAGACATACAAATTTTAGATGTACTGTAAGGAGATGATGAAAATTAGCAAACATTTTATCTTTTGTGCAAAATATATGACGTTTACATTCAAAATATTCCCTGCCCTGCAAGGAATCCAGCAATGTCAATTATATTATCCTAACTTTAGTCTGAGGTATTATTTATTACTAAAAATGTAAATATACTGTTTTAACCCAAACATTTCTCTGGTAGGGAGGGAAGGTGGGGGATAGGGAGGGAAGGACCCAGCGTGCATGGGAAGTTGGGGGGAGCAGGAGGTGGGGTATTTTGATTGACAGATAGTGTTTGGGTGAATAATAATTTGTTTATTTACTGAAGAAATTTGTTTTTAGTTCATAAAATTCATACAAATTACCTGGCCAGAATATAATTTACATTGCTGGAATTCTTACAAGATGGTGATCATTTTAAATATAAACATCTTAAAATTTGCATTAGACATACAAATTTTAGATGTAATGTACTGTAAGGAGATGATGAAAATTAGCAAACATTTTATCTTTTGTGCAAAATATATGACGTTTACATTCAAAATATTCCCTGTCCTGCAAGGAATCCAGCAATGTCAATTATATTATCCTAACTTTAGTCTGAGGTATTATTTATTACTATACCTTAAAATCTAGTGCTTTCACCGAAACATTTCTCAGAGAGGGAGGAGCCAGCGAGCGTGGGAAGAGGGGGGGATGGGAGTTGAGTCCATTATTTGAATGGACATTAACCAGGCGACTGTATTTCTCTTAAATATTAATTGTGTGTGCATACCATCATAAAATTAAGATGTTATTTTTACTACAACGTAGGCATTGTGTCGGAAAAAGTGGAGTTTGGGGGTCAGCCGAGTCTCTATTTCAATTAATCCCATGTTGTTATTTCTTTTATGCGTTTCTCGTTTTACGCGGGCCTCCACGGGTTCAATTGACCGCGTAAATGCAGACTCCACTGTATTTCGGGTAGGATTTTCCCATTATTATTTATTTTTATGTGTTTTTTGGTGTGTCTGTGTCTACAAACACACACACACACATATACAATACAGATAAAAGAAATTACTGTCTGTAAAACGAATGGCTCCATGTCCTGGCCACGAAAATGCCAGCAACTTTAAAACTACCCTTAGACAGTCTTGCGTTCATCCAGGGCGTCATCCGAGAATAATCGAGGTCCACGAATGAAAAATCCGCGAATTGTCAGGGCATGCTGTACTAAAATTGTTCATAAATTCTTTAAGAGCAATAACATTAATGATAATACAAGTATACCTCAATATCCGAGATGGCAGACTTGAGGGTACAAGACCAGTTGACAAGGCGGTTAGATCTATATATAGTTCCATCTTCATGCATTCTTACAAATGCCTCCTTTACAGCTTCCTGTGGCCCTGGATCCATTGTAAAAGTAGTGCGATCCCAGTCAAGCGAAGATCCCATCTTCTCTAACTGATGGTAGATACGATCACCCTTCCTATACAAAAGAAAAGGATGAATTTCAATCATAAATGTTTATGGAACTGGATTGGGGATATTTCAAATTAATTCTGATAGACATTTGATCCAAAAGGATGTAAGGAGTGAACTACAATAAGTCCTCGCATAACATCGGTACTACTGCCTCGGAAGATATTGGAAGCATAATGTGTTGTCTAATGGTAGACCCTGCTGCCAGATGGCAACACGAAAATTGTAACAAAGCCCCAGGTTGCTGATCTGACTTTCTGCCTCATTTACACACAATTGCAGGGTCTCAATTATTTCTCTTGACAACATAACATACATATAATGTTTCTCACTTTTTTTTTTTTCATTTTTGTATTTTTTTGTTATTATGATTATAATTTTTATTTTGTTTTATTTCAAATTTTGTATTTTATATAATAATTTTATTTACTGTACTATGAATTATTATTATTATTAATATTATTATTATTATTACATTTTCGCCGCCCAGGACCCGATGTGGGTCAGTGACCTGTGCTCGGGTGGGCTAATACTCGTGTATATAAAAAAAAAAAAAAAAATCTTTAGATACCAAAAATTAGTTTAACCCTTAAGCCCCACCCCCTCGTGGAGGGATAAATTGAGAAAAAAAATTCAACTTTTCAAAAAAATAAAATAAATAAATAAAAAAATTGCGGGAAAATAGGAGGATGCTCTGGAACGTTACCTGGGCCGCGCTAGTCGGACGTTCTAGGACGCCACCCGGGGCCCAAGGGTTAACGTCCCAATCACTCAGTACAACATCGCTTTGCGTTGTCACAGACTACTTTTTACAGCGCATCACTCTCTCTCGCCATGCTACCTCTCACTCATGCAGCGTCACAGCGTCCCCAAGCGACGCCAAGCCAATCTCTGTTAAGGTTCCACAGCGTTCGTGTGTGTTTAATTTTTTTGCTCTTAATACTGTACTCTAACAAATCGAAATGCTTCCAAGTGTCCATCAAGTGCTACTGATGCTAGTGTTGTGAAGAAGCAACATAAGACCCTTAGCCTCGATACAAAAATGGAGGTTTTAAACCGGAAGGAGGAACCACCCGCTGGGTCTCAGTGACTCGCCACCCTCCTCCTTCGCTCCACTACCCACCACACACTCGCTCCACCACCTCCATCCATCAGTAAGTGCAATACAAAATGATTTAGTTTTTTATGTATATATATACTGTTTTCTATAAAAATGCCATTGAATTTCTGAATATGAAATGTATTTCATGGGGTAAAGGGAGGTTCAGGAACGTAAATCCCGTATTTTATCTATTTCTTATGGGGAAAAATTATCCGCTTAACGTTGTTTCGTATACTGTCGTGTTTTCAGGAACGTAACCCCAAAGTGAGGACTTACTGTACTTCTAAGTTGAATTGGAGTTTAGTCATTACAACAATTCATTATACGTAGCTTGAAAGTACAGTCAGTTCTGCTATAACGCGATAGTTGTGTTCTTGTAAAACATCGTGTTATAGAAATTCGAGTAATAGAAATAACAGGGCTTATGGAGAAAATAGGGTTAGGTGCAGATTACTACTCGAAATCAAAAAAATTTAGTAGTTAGCCTAACACAAAGGATAGCACAGTCTAAATAAATGTTACATTCATATCTAATAATGAAATCATACAGTAAATGCAACACTTACCTTGAAAAAATATGAATATAACTTGATGGGGGAGAAGGGTGATTTTGAGGTTGATAACATCGAGCTTCTCTTCAAGGGTTATAGCCTTTCTTTTACGGTCATCACCGGGAATGCGATCACCAGAACGCTTCTTGGAGATATTCTTCTTTACCATATTCACAGTTAATACCACAAAATTGGAGAAATAGTAGGCAAAAATCGCATTACAGCAAACAAGAGTTCGCATTATACAAATATCGTTCCTCTATTCATAAATTACGTTAGAGCCAATTCGCGTTGTCAAAACAGGCGTTATAGCAGAACTCACTGTACACGGAAGAAAGTCGTCAGTGTTGTGATGTATGTACAGTCCCCCCCAAAGAGTATCATTAGCCATGGGGTCGATATGGTTCGAGGCATTCAAAGCAATGTTACTTGACCTGTGGCTTAGAGGTTGGGACAGTATACCCTCGATTTAACAGAATCGGATATAACGAACTCTCAATTTAGCGGAAAACATTTTTTCTGTTATTTTTCGCTCGATTTAGTGAACTACAGGCAGTCCCTGACTTACGACAGGGTTAGGCACCCAAATCCAGGTCGTAAGTCGAAAATGCGAAAATAATATATAGAAAATCTATAATGGATGTCTCTTTTTCTTTTCAGCACCACAAAACTCCCACTTTTAAGCTTGCCAGCCACTTTAAAGGGAATTACAAACAAAAATTTTGTCAGTACACAGCGCAATCACTAACGTCGGTACTCGAAAATACGTAATTTGAAAAAAATTTGGTAAGACTGCGGCGGTCGTATGTCCGGGTGGTCTTAAGTCAAGTAGGTCGTAAGTCGAGGAGTACCTGTAGTTCGCTGAATCGTGATTAATTCTGTTAACACGCTCACACCTACAAAAACACCTCAGACACGATACAGTAAAACCTAATTCAGCCTTCAGCAAATGTACTAAATGTATAAACATGATAAATAATGATATAAAGCAATTACCGAAAAATTTAAGAAAATGCCGAGAAAATCACTCCAAACCTTCCTGCTCCTGGCCTGGGGAGAAAGGTTCCCTGCGTTATGAAAGATTGCACCATGTTAAGCCACCTCCTCACATGGTTGGTGTGTGGGTGGGAAGACCAACCCCTTAGGTAACACTGGATTTTTAATTACTGTACAAATATTTCTTTAAATGTACAGTCTCATTCAAGATTCTTCGAACACTTCGGGAGAGAGCTGGCAACTCAATGCTGTTTGTTTACTATAGTACATAGTAAAAATTATGAGTAAATGTAAAAGTGATCGGTGATTGGTTACCTAGTTCCCCGTTGATAAATTAATGGTTGGGCTTTGTTGTTTCGTATTATATTATAATACGTACTATAGTAAGCAAACGGCCTTGAGTTGCCAGCAGTGTTCAAAGAATCTTGAACGAGACTGTACATACAATACTAAAAAGGTAAAATAATACAGTAATAAATCAATGTAACTCCAAGCTGTGCTAACGAGGTGGTGACTCAGGTGAGGTGACAAGACAGTAGATGAGGTGACAGGCCCAGACACTTACACAGCACACACATTAACAGCACTACTAAACCATTGCTTTATATCATTATCGTTTTCATACATTTAGTACATTCGCCGAAGGCTGAAGTAGGTTTTACTGTATCATGTGTCTAAGGTTTCTCTGTGGGTGTGACAATATTAACAGAATAAATCTCGATTTAGCTAACTAGCTCACTAAGTCGAGCGAAAAAAAAAATGATTTCCGGTAAATTGGGAGGTCATTTTATCGGATTCCGTTAAATTGAGAGTACAGTACAGTACAGTATACTAGTACCTGAGACTCATTGGAAAATACACCTTGCACCAACAAACATCATCTCGTAGTGTGTATCAGATAATGTTCTGTTGCTAGCACGAATCATGAGATGATACATTATATTCATAATTGTTACCTCATCAATTGAGATAAATCATTATGTCAT